TGGCCCTGGGTAGAGTGCTGTAGTGTCCACAGCTCACAGCAGCCTCTAACTCCTGGGCTTAACCTATTCTCTTGCCTCAGCCTCCCAAGTAGCTGGGACTACAGGCACCCACCACAACGCCTGGCTATTTTTTGATTGTAGTTGTCATTGTTGTTTGGTAGGCCCAGGCTGGATTCAAACCCGCCAGCTCTGGTGTATGTGGCTGGCACCTTAGCTGCTTGAGCTACAGGCGCCGAGCCTAAAAGTCAAATTTCGACAGCGGTATTTGCCTGCTTCAACTAACCCCACACTTGATGAGCACACCTTTATTTGGCACTTTATAAATACAGGTGGGCCCAATTTTGAGAAGGAAACAAATTTAGAGTCATTTTTTTGTGTCTGAGAGGTATCCGTCAATATTGAGGTAACTGACCTCCTTTTAGTAAATTGTATTTAAAAATGCATGTTTAGCCTTATTGAGAGACAGCATCATAATGCCAAGTACACAGTATCACTTTTGAGTTACTTAAGATTTGCATGTTTCTGAGTGACTATTTTCAGCCTTAATGAGCAATGATCTACAGAGCAGCCTGTTCCTCAGGGCTCTTTCAAAACTCCAGCCTCTGCTGTAGTTGGTGCCTTGCAGGAGGGTTCATGAGACTTAGTGATCCAGAGTCACATGATCAACCCTTACTACCCAACTCTCACTGGTAAGAACTACAAGCCAAAACCACAGGAACCTGGTACTTCTTATCACAGAATCAGTACACTCAGCAAGAACATGTGAGTTCCCACAGGGCCTAGAGCAAAGGCAACAGCGAGTAAGAGGTTTTCCTCACGCTGACTCTCCCACCACCAGCCACATGGGTAGAGAGAACTGGAGACTAAGCTCCCAGAAGGTTCTAATTCATCTTGCCTTTGGGCAATCTTTGTAATTCCTCCTTGGTCTACATGTGATCATGAGAAGAGCATGCACTCTCTCTTTCTCTCTCTCTACATACACATTTTTTGTTTGTGTATATACCCTGCCGCCTTGGGTAGAATGCCATGGTGTCACAGCTCACAGCAACCTGCAAACTTGGGCTTAAGCAATTTTTTTGCCTCAGCCTCCCGTAGCTGGGACTACAGGCACCCACCACAATGCCTGGCTATTTTTTGGTTTAGTTAGTTGTCACTGTTGTTTGGTAGGACTGGGCCGGATTCAAACCCACCAGCTCTAGTGGCTGGTGCCCTAGCCATTGAGCTACAGGCACAGAGTCATTTTCCTTTTCTTAAAGACAGAATCTCACTCTGTCACCTTGGGTAAAGTGCCATGGCATCATAGCATCAAGCAACCTCAAACTTCTGGGCTCAAGCGATCCTCCTGCCTCAGCCTCCTGAGTAGCTGGGATTACAGGCACGAACCACCACACCCAGCTAATTTTTCTATTTTTAGTAGAGATGGGGTCTCACTCTTGCTCAGGTTGGTCTCAAGCTCCTGAGCTGGGGCAATTCACCTGCCTCAGCCTCCTAGAATGCTGGGATTACAGGTGTGAGCCACTGGGGTCAGCCAGAAGCACTATATTTAGCTTTTTGGAGACTTTAACAACTGAATTCAAGCCAGGCACAGTAGTGCACATCTGTGGTCCCAGACACTCAGGAAGCTGAGGCTGAAGGATCACTTAAAGACTTGCCAGAGATAGGCCCGGCACCTATAGCTCAACCGGCTAAGGCGCCAGCCACGTACACCTAAGGTGGCGGGTTCGAATCCCCAGCCCGGACCCGCCAAACAACAATGACG